TATATACATATATATATTTATATATGTATGTATGTGTGTATAAATTTATATATTTATATATACATAAATCTATATATATATAAAGGACTTGAACCGCAGTTCTATTGGCACCCTTTAGTTCGGGACTTACTTCAGAAAGTTGTGGCAAGCGAGTCAAGAGGATGTTAGTGGTTTTAATTTATCTGTATGAGATATCTATTGTATCTTAAAGTGTTGCTCTGTTGTGGGGAGATGATAAGCAAGGAAAAAAAGGGATGAGGAAGGGGGATACATGGCATTGGTTTTGTGGTCGTACGGATATATTGCAGGTATGTAAGTAAACAGCAAAACTCAGTGATGCACACAAGGGACATAAAAAATCTTGAGACATTCAATGCTATCATAGAATGGGATAAACAGTTCTTTCAAGAACGACCAGACAATTCTAGCAAAACATTCACTATACAACTCTCGCCACTGTAGCGATAGCTCAGTCAGTCATTGACATGGGCATGCATTGTCTGCATATCTCCTGTGATTACTACCGGTGCGTATCGAGTGTGGTCTGGTACTACACGACTGCACGCATAAACACTGTATTCCGAGCTCAATATCCCGTCATATTTGTAAATGGACGGCCCTGTAGATGCCTTTCTGTGGACTGACCATACTCTGCGCGGACAAGTACTTCTCAGGTCTCGAGCTTTGTGGCGCAGACACATGAGCACAGCTTCACAAAACTTAGTCAACTTTTCTTCAATTGCGATAAAGTTGCGAATTTATTCGTGCTCGAGTGTAATTGAGTGATTTTGCATGAAATAGCCGTCTATTTCCCAGCCAGGCATTTCATCACATCCGTGAGAGAACAGACGCCGGTGGGTGCTTGCCCTGCAGAGCTTCCGTTGACAATCCATACTCTGTGAACTTTCGTAGCTCTCATCTTACGCAGTGCGAATGAAAGTGCGGTATCTCTGCGGACTGTGAAGACTGGTGCGGAGTCTTTGCCTTCGTTTGCGAATGCCTGTACGTATGCGTTGTGTGTGTGTGTGTGTGTGTGTGTGTGGGGTAGGGGGGGGGGTAGTTAATAGTAGATGAGATACGGTCGT